CAATAGTTAGGACTCCCCAGTGAAGTCGCCATTTTCTGTTGCGGTGAAATTTGGATGTCAAGCTATTGATTAACTTGAATCTTAATTCATTTACAACCGGTCTTTGATTTATCCGAAGGAAAGGTTAAAGAAAGGAAAAACCTAAAAGGGAGAGATCTAAGGTTCGGGGGTTGGTTAAATTTAGGGAAGGTATTAGCACCCTAAACTTCCGTAGTACTCTACGGGAACCTTTTGTTTATTTTTTTTATTTCATTAATTATTTTGCTTTAGGGTATATACAAAGGATTGAAAATTAAAAAAGACCTAGGGGTTAATTCTAAGTTTACTCGGCAAGACATCGCATCTTGTTCCTACATATCCTTACGGGAAAGGAATCAGAGTAACTGTAGTTCCCCTCAAAAGGGAGGTTAGAGACTTCTTGGCTGTGGTCAAGGTCTCAAGGGGAATAAACGCATCTTAAGGACACGCTTACGTGGAGTGTAGAAACTCCAAATCTCTACGTTGAATTTGTTAAGTGAATTAGGGTTGAATTAGGGATTCCGCGGCGGGAAACCCTAAAATGAGTGCGGCGACTCTTTGACCTAATGCTAGGGGTAACATGGTAATTTTGCCTGCAGCGAGGCATTTGTGAAAATTAGGGTTTGTAGTTTGTAGTTTTGAGGGTTTGAAATTGAATGTGTGAAATTTGAGGGTTTAAGGACTATTGACATGGCGGCCAAACGGCTAGACCTAATCCTTCGGAGGTGTGATGTGACAGAAGTAATAGTGATGAAAGTGTGAGAAATTTAAATCATACAAACGGAAATAAAATGCAGAAAGTAAATGCGATTGTTGGTTCGCGGGGTTACAAATGATAAACGGATACAATTATATACAACTTGAATTGAAAAACACATTAAAATAACTAATAGCAACGTAACAAGCTGCACATTGAATACACAAGGTTAGTAGACAGAGTCACACAGTAATCAGGCGAGTTATGAAACGGAAGTGCGAAAGTTATAGATATTCTTTGTTGTTTATTTGTGATATATAAAAAAGCTTTTGATTTAAGTTAAAAAAAGAGGTTTTAATATTATTAAAAAAAAATTTCAAAAATAGTCTTAATTTAATTATCTAACAAAAAGGTTTTATTTTTTTAAAAAAAAGGTTTAATGTTATTATTATATATTTTTTTAAAAACGGTTCTAGTTATTATTTTAAAAAAAGATTTTAGTTATTATTTTAAATTTATCTAAAAAAAAGTTTTTCTTAAAAATAATAGGTTTTCATATTAATTTGGAAAAGATGTTAATGTTATTTATTTTAAAAAAACAGATTTTTATATTATAACAAGTTTTAATAAATTAATGATAATAATAATAATAATAGTAATAATAATAATAATAATGATAATAATAATAAATAATGATAATAATAATAAATAATGATAATAATAATAATACTAATAATAATAATAATAATAAATAATGATAATAATAATACTAATAATAATAATAATAATAATAAAGCAATAATGAATTTTAAATGTGCCAAATAACCCAACAATGTTGCTAACGCAGAAATGCGCTCAGCGCAACCAGATCTAAATCGGACGAAACAAAATTTATCGCAAAGAAAAAGAAATTAAGCAAAAAAACAGTATTATTGCTCACACAAAAATGCGATCATCGCAACCAGATCGAACTAACACAAATGTCACGCGTCATGCACACAAATGTGCAAACATCGTATCGATATAATTCGATCAAAAATTAATCTTATATATATAAAAACTCTAACAATTTAAAAATTATAAATATATAAACGTAACAGTAATAGATAAAGAAAAAGAAATAACGGTAATAGATGAAGAAAAAGAAATAACGGTAAAAGATGAAGAAAAAGAAACAACAGTAATAGATGAAGGAAAAGAAATAACGGTAAACGATGAAGAAAAAGAAACAACAGTAATAGATGAAGAAAAAGAAATAACGGTAAACGGCACTCACTCCTCTTAGGTTTTTTTCATTCTCCCCCTTTTCAACAAAGCAACACATGTATATATAGGGAACAAATTAGGGTTAACACCAAATTGTCAATAATGTCCCTAAAGCCCATTTTAAAGCCCAAACTAAATAATTAGTTAAGAAAAAAAAATAAAATTTAAATAATTTAAAATAATTAAAATAAACTTAAAATAAAAACTAATAATCCTATTGATTCCTAAAATCAAAAATATTATAAAAAGAACAAAAAAATTTTCAATATTTTTTATTTTATGATTTTTTTGGATATTTTTATGAATAATTTAGAAAAAAGTGAAAAAAATAATATTTTAAAAAATGATTTAATTAAACTACGAAAATAATAATTAAATAATAATAAAAAACTATTTTTGTTATTTTTTTAATGAAAGATAGAAAAATTTAGAGTAAAAATAATAAAAAACAAAAAAAAGTGACAAAGGTGAGATTCGAACTCTCAACCTCTCACACTCACAACTCCTTACACATGTCCTCCTGCCAATTGTGTCATTTTTACTTTTTAGAAAAAAAATGCATGCCATATGATATTTACCTGCAAAAAGTCAAACGACTACACAAATTTGTTAGTAATTGATTAAATGCAATAAAAATGCAATGAAATGCGACGACAAATCTTAGGGCAAAATTTGGGGTATTACACCCCTTCTCCCTTAAATCCTTGATTTCCTCTTTTCCCCGTAAGTTCCTTCTCAAAAATTTCACGTACTGTAAAATTTGGCTTCCACTAATCTTTTTTAATAATAAACCTAATTATTGAATATAATAGTTACACCTTAGCTCCAACTCTTTTCTAATTATTGTCACTTTACCCCATCTTTCTATTAATTCCAATTTCCCCTCAATTCTCACAATTCCACCATTTTCTATTTATTTTAATTATTATTCTATTATTTTAAACACACAAAATTAACTAATAATTATAATCAATTCATATCACTCTATAAATATCCTAAAAATACCCATAAGTGCTAAATAACCATAGAACACACATTATCAGCAAAATAAATAATTAAAAACATTCTAAATCACTTAAATAATTAAATAAAATTAATTTAATTCAATTAAAATATAAATATAAAATATCGGGGTGTTACAGTATCTACACAATTTGAACGAGTACTCACATTTCCTCTATCCAATGTCATCTCATTTCAACTTCCTAATCTTTGGTTGGTACGTGCCACTTCTTTCGCATATCCTTGTTACAAATGTTTGTCTTCCATCTGGACTATTGTCGGATCTTCTTGTTACAACATTAAACCCTAAATTTCGGGTCTCCCTACTGACCCATTTTAGCATATGTTCACGAACAAAAAACACTTTTTTATTTATAAATTATGTAGGAACATCTACCTCGACAATAACCGATAGAACACTCGGTTTAACATCATCATTTGCTTCATCTGATTTAACATCCTCATTCACTTTATCCGTTTTAACATCATCATTTGCTTCATCTGATTTAACATCCTCATTCACTTTATCCGGTTTAACATCATGCTTCACTTCGATCGGTTTAACATCCACACTCACATAGTTTGGAAAACATATTCGGGCACACCATATCTATTACCACCAATAACAAAAAAACAATGTTAAAATTCAAACTAACAGGACCCTTCAAATATGCACATACGAAACTAACCTAACTTCCTCTGGAGATGCATGTCCGGATTCAACGTTCATTTTTCAATTCAAACACTAGATTAATGCAAGGAATGATTGATAAAATGAATAATCTTTACCTTCAACTCCAGCTTGTTTTACTCCCTTTGAAGTGATGAAATACAAGAATGATGTTTTGGTGTTGAAATGTTGATTGAGAATGAGAGAAATATTTGTAAGAGTTTTGCAATGAATTTTCTCTTTTAGCATGAAGAGGAAGATCATGCAAAGGGATGTTTTATCAACTTTTACATTGGGCATTTTCAGATATGCATGCCCGAAAATATCACTAATTTATTATTTAAATCAATTGAGTGAATAACAAAATTCCATAAATGAGTGCAGGGAGTATTTCAAAAATCCATCTCCGAATACATCCAAATTGTATAAGGAGATGCATCTCCGAACTATATATTTTTTTAACTGAGTGACACTCAAAAAAGACAAGATTAGTGTGATTTTAAGTGCATCTGAAAATACATCTCCAAACGCATGAAAAACATTTTCAAATTTTCAAAGGTATAGGAGGCACTACCAGAAGTGGAAAGAGCATTTCCCACCATTTTTTATCTTTATTTTGGTTTTTTTTTTTTAAATCCTACTTGGTCAAAGTAATTTTACACAAAGGTCCTGTGTTTAATCCTAGACAATTGCAAAATATTTATTTGATTTTTTATTTAAAATATTAATAATAAAAAATATAAAATAAAAAAGTTTACATGGCATTTAGAAAAAATAATTAAAAAATCAACTACATATAAAAAAAATAAAATAGTCAAATAACAATGTCACATCATTTTTTTGTGATTAGTTTGATGAGAGATAAAAACAAAGAAATCTTTATAAAATAGAAGGGTTCTTTTATATAATTTTTTAAAAATCATTCCTATAGCAAACATAAAATAGATATTAACCCAATTATATAATTTGATACAAATTATCAACATGATACTTTGTTATAATGAATTGTTATATTCTCGTTTTATAATTAAATCAAAAATTTTAAACTATTAGTAATAAATTGAATTATATAAATATATGTTACTTATATAATAACTTTAATGAGAAATAAAGTTGTACATTTTACTTAATCGAAACAAACTTAATGACTGATATACATTTTTGCAATACTTATTCTGACATTAAAGCATATACTAGTATCCTCCTATAGAATTGTACAACATAAAATTTAATAAATTATATAATATTTTATCAGAGGCAATAAACACTACTTCAAAGGCTTTTCCAGTAGTTTTGGAAGACATGAATTTGGGAGCTTTTGAGAATGAATTTCATAAACTGCATACATCAATCTGGATGCACTTCCTGCCCCACATGCAGCCATGAATCACCTTGTTGCTGCTCTCCATTAACAGATGCATATTTCAGCAGTATGCCAAATAAAATCCTTCCCTGATTTATGTATATAGTTATATTAGACTGGTGATGCCTAGGATGAATCAAATATATAAAATACATTTATTTAGCTATAAGAGAATTTGACCAACCTTTACTCTCCTGTATGATGCTAAAGTTGCCAAAGGTTCCTTCGACTTTTGCACTCGCCCGGCATTTAGTGAAAGGTTGATTACATGGCATCGATTGCATCCTCCTAGCGACTGCAGAGCATACGGAAACTAAATTACAAACTTGTAAAGATAATGAAGATCAGCATCCATGAATTCAGTCTTAGTTAAACATAGGGTTCAAGTAAATGTTAGTCAAAGAACCATCTAACTACAATAGTGTCCACATCAAACTGCAAAATTCCAAAATATGTGTTGTCAAATATTTAGAAAGTTGTTAGAACTTACTTTGAAACACTTGTTTCCAATCGTAATGTCTCTCCATCCATCTTCATCATAAGGCCTGCCTCCAGATACCACAAGGTTGGGACGAAATCTATTTACATTGACTTTCATTGCTGTTACGCATACGCCCTTCTGAACATCTAGGAATAACATCAACGATAGTTGTCAAATGTTCAATATTCTGAAACTTGGAGTTGAAGACTAAACAGTGTAACTAATAGATTTTGTAATACACAAGTGATCGGCACAAGTACGGCTGAAAATGAAAGTTAACTTTCTTTAAAAGAATTTCATTTCTATCTTGCATCATTGATTTTGAAAAGATATACAATATTCTTAAAAGGGTTTGTATAAGGTTACGGAGAATAAGATCAAATTGTCAACAATTATGCAACCCAAGATATGTAAAAGGGCATGACTAGCGTGAGAATACAAGATGGAGCCTCAAAAGACTTACTTATATTATAACTACAAGTATGTACCAATGATTAACTTAGAACTTTTATCTCCCTGTTTTGATTCTAGATGTGGTTTCTATTATAGCTTACATGTCTGATTTGTAATCATTCTTTGTACACCACTCATTGAATTAGAAATCAAATTCATACCTTT